CTGCGATGGAGGAAGCAGCCTGCAAGTATTAAGGCAAGGCTCACACCTATGTGGTTTGCGTTTGAGCCTTTTCTGCAGTGCGTTTTAAGTTTTTGCACCTGCGATTCTGATGCGTTTTGCTTTTTTTTTTCTTCTTGTTGCTAGGCAGATTTAAAACGCAAAACGCATCAAAAACTACTATTTCTTCAATTTAAATAGGGACTTGTACGTTCCAGTGCATTTTTGGTGCATTTTGCGCTTTTCTTTTCTTGTTGCTAGGCAGATTTAAAATGCAAAACGCATCAAAAACTAATATTTTTCTTCAATTTAAATAGGGACTTCTACGTTCCAGTGCATTTTTGGTGCGTTTTGCGCTTTTTTTCTTGTTGCTAGGCAGATTTAAATTGCAAAACGCATCAAAAATGACTATTTCTTCAATTTAAATAGGGACTTGTACGTTCCAGTGCATTTTTGGTGCGTTTTGCGCTTTTTTTTTTTCTTGCTGCTAGGCAGATTTAAAATTCATCAAAAACGACTATTTCTTCAATTTAAATAGGGACTTGTACGTTCCAGTGCATTTTTGGTGCATTTTGTGCTTTTTTTTTCTTGTTGCTAGGCAGATTTAAAAAGCAAAACGCATCAAAAACTACTATTTCTTCAATTTAAATAGGGACTTGTACGTTCCAGTGCATTTTTGGTTTTGCGCTTTTTTTTTCTTGTTTGCAGATTTAAATAGGACATGCACGTTCCAGTGCGTTTTTGCTTTTTTTTCTTGTTGCTAGGCAGATTTAAAACACAAAGTGCACCAAAAACACACTACATGTTTTACTGCAGCATTTCCATTGAAGTCTATAGAACCAAAAAAGCAATGTTTTGCATTTAAAAAGGACCATTTCTAAAAACAATTTCGGGTGAAAACGCAAAGATGTGAACCTGTCCCATAGGAAATCATATTAAATGAACTGCTGTGTGTTTCTGCAAAACGCAATGGAAAACGCATAAGTGTGAACCTAGACTAAGAATTGGTTCCAGTGCATTTTTTATACATTCCAGTTAATTTTTTTCCCCTCTCTTTTTCTTCAATTTAAATAGGGACATGTACGTTCCAGTGCGTTTTTTGGTGCGTTTTGCTTTTTTTTTTTCTTGTTGCTAGGCAGATTTAAATGCATAAAAAATGCACTACATGCTTTTCTGCAGCATTTCTATTGAAGTCTATAGAACCAAAAAAGCAATGTTTTGCGTTTAAAAAAAAAAAAGTCTCTGACCCTTTCCAAAAAACGCACCGGGTGAAAACGCGAAGATGTAAACCTGTCCCATAGGAAATCATGTTAAATGGACTGTTGTGCGTTTCTGCAAAATGCAATGGAAAACGCATAGATGTGAACCTAGACTAAGGATTGGTTCCAGTCAGCGGCGGACTGACAACTTATGGGGCCCCCGGGCAATAGGGGATCATGGGGCCCCTGTGTCCTTGCCCAAACTCAAAAAAGCCTATGAAAAAGGTACCAGGGGCATCTCATGGGGCCCCCATACTGACTCCGGGCCCTCGGGCAGTGCCTGAGTTTCCAAATGGTCAGTCCGCCCCTGGTTCCAGTGCATTTTTTTTATGCATTCCAGTTCATTCCACCCCCCCCCCCCCCCCCTCTCTTTTTTTTTCAATTTAAATACGGACATGTACGTTCCAGTGCGTTTTACTTTTTTTTGTTTTATTGTTGTTAGGCAGATTTAAAACACAAAATGCATCAAAAACGCACTACATGTTTTTCTGCAGCATTTCCATTGAAGTGTATAGAACCAAAAAGGAAACTTTTTACATTTGAAAAAGTCCCTGACCCTTTCCAAAAAACGCAACGGGTGAAAACACGAAGATGTGAACCTGTCCCATAGGAAATCATGTTAAATGGACTGCTGTGCGTTTCTGCAAAGCGTAACAGAAAATGCATAGATGTGACCCTAGACTAAGGATTGGATCCAGTGCCTTCTTTATGCATTCCAGTTCATTTCCCCCCCCCCCCTCTCTTTTTCTTCAATTTAAATAGGAACATGTACGTTCCAGTGCGTTTTGCTTTTTTTTGTTTTGTTGTTGCTAGGCAGATTTAAAACACAAAGTGCATCAAAAACGCACTACATGTTTTTCTGCAGCATTTCCATTGAAGTCTATAGAACCAAAAAGGCAACTATTTACGATTAAAAAAGTCCCTGACCCTTTCCAAAAAACGCACCGGGTGAAAACGCGAAGATGTGACCGTGTCCCATGGGAAATCATATTAAATGAACTGCTGTGCGTTTCTGCAAAACGTAACGGAAAATGCATAGGTGTGAACCTAGACTAAGGATTGGATCCAGTGCCTTCTTTATGATTCCAGTGCAATTTTTTTTGTACGTTGTGTTTTTTGCGTTTTGCTTTTTTTTTTTTTTCTTGTTGCTAGGCAGATTTAAAACACATAAAAACGCACTACATGCTTTTCTGCAGCATTTCCATTGAAGTCTATAGAACCAAAAATGCTACTTTTTGCATTTAAAAAAGTCCCTGACCCTTTCCAAAAAACGCACCGGGTGAAAACACGAAGATGAGAACCCGTTTAAAAAAAAAAATTAAAAAACTAAAATGAAATATTTTTGTGCATTTTAATTACTGTTGGTAAATATTCATGTAACGTTCAGGATGGCCATCATTGGAAGGGGCGGGTGGTCATTCCTGGACCCCAGGGACATTTCCAGGGACAATGTTCCCCATGGCAACTGCAAACACATGACTGCCAACATGCTGGCTCTTGTAGTTCCACCGCAACCCCAAATTTCCCTTATTTCCACTCCTTCATACCTGAAATTCCTCCTCTGTGAAGCTGCCAGATCTAAAACCTACAGCCGGAAGGGAAATTCCTTTAAGTCGGTGAGAAAAGGCTGCTGGGAAATCTAGTTTTTTTCCTGATAGCATTGCATTGCAGCAAGAGGAACTGGAACTACAACTCCCATGATGCACCACACCTCCCAGGATCAGCTGTCTGCAGCCTTGGAAACAAATGTCAACCAAGCTTTGGATTAACCCCATGTGTGCTTGCGAGCAGATTGCACCGAACCCTGCAGGGCTGCCGTATGCTGGGAAAAAACTATTTGGGAAAAATTGATTCAACTGACAATATTTTTGGGTTTTTTTTTTCCTTGTGTATGTAATCGTTATTTGTGCATTGTTGTTTTAATTTGTTTCTTTATTTTTTTTTGTGTTTTTTTTAACGTGTTACTAAACCCCGAACCCTGCATTCACTATATCCAGTCTCCCTGGACCCTGCATTCACTATATCCGGTCTCCCTGGACCCTGCATTCACTATATCTGGTCTCCCCGGACCCTGCATTCACTATATCTGGTCTCCCCGGACCCTGCATTCACTATATACTATGGTCTCCCGACCCTGCATTCACTATATCTGGTCTCCCTGGACCCTGCATTCACTATATCTGGTCTCCCGGACCCTGCATTCTCTATATCTGGTCTCCCTGGACCCTGCATTTAACTATATCTGGTTTTCCTGGACCCTACATTCACTATATCTGGTCTCCCCGACCCTGCATTCACTATATCTGGTCTCCCTGGACCCTACATTCACTATATTCGGTCTCCACGGACCCTGCATTCACTATATCTGGTCTCCCGGACCCTGCATTCACTATATCGGTCTCCCCGGACCCTGCATTCACTATATCTGGTCTCCCGGACCCCGCATTCACTATATCTGGTCTCCCCGGACCCTGCATTCACTATATCTGATCTCCCAGACCCTGCATTCACTATATCCGGTCTACCCAGGACCCTGCATTCACTATATCTGGTCTCCCCGGACCCTGCATTCACTATATCGGTCTCCCCGGACCCTGCATTCACTATATCCGGTCTCCCCGGACCCTGCATTCACTATATCTGGTCTCCCCGGACCCTGCATTCACTATATCCGGTCTCCCCGGACCCTGCATTCACTATATCTGGTCTCCCGGACCCTGCATTCACTATATTTGGTCTCCCTGGACCTGCATTCACTATATCTGGTCTCCCCGGACCCTGCATTCACTATATTCGGTCTCCCGGACCCTGCATTCACTATATCCGGTCTCCCCGGACCCTGCATTCACTATATCCGGTCTCCCCGGACCCTGCATTCACTATATCTGGTCTTCCCCCCGGACCGGTCTCCCCGGACCTGCATTCACTATATCTTGTCTCCCCGGACCCTGCATCACTATATCTTGTCTCCCCGGACCCTGCATTCACTATATCCGGTCTCCCCGGACCCTGCACTCACTATATCCGGTCTCCCTGGACACTGCATTCACTATATCCGGTCTCCCTGGACCCTGCATTCGCTATATCCGGTCTCCCCGGACCCTGCATTCGCTATAGCCTTTTTCATAGGCTTTTTGAGTTTGGGCAAGGACACAGGGGCCCATGATCCCCTATTGCCCGGGGGCCCCATGAGTTGTCAGTCTGCCCCTGGTTACCCCTCTCTTCCTGCTCTGGTAAGAACTAAAAAAATGTTGAATTTCCTAACCCTTTCTATCTTGTTGACTATGGTAAACTAGAAAAAAAAGTGTTTGCCATGCATACTCTTGAACTGGAGGTGAAAATTGTGAAATTGGGTACAAATATTAGGAAAATAAAATGCCCCATCATCAGTGGGCATAAACAATACTCCATCATTGGTTTTAATGGGAGGAAAAAGGCCTCACTGTTTATTCCAATGGAAAGAATAGTGCCATCGATGGTGTCAATGGAAGGAATGGTGTCCCATCATTGGTGTCAGTTGGTGGAATAGTGCCCCAAGGGCCAGATAAAGGCAAGCACAGGGCCACATCCAGCCCCTGAGCCGCAGTTTGGAGATCGCTACTCTGTTGTAAGTGGGTGTATATCAAGCTGCCATGGGTTACAAAGTATTTGTGAAAAAAAAGGAATGTAGAATATAGATATGTGGATATTGATCTAAAATATGATATTATACTTTTTTTTCTTGTCTTCTTGTCTTTAGGTGTGATGACCCTTCAAACAGTTGTTGCCACATCTCACACTTCTCTAATCCAGCCAGGGTTCTCCTTGCTTCGGTTTGGTCGTCATGTCTACTTCTTTGGTCAAAAAGGTTGGCCAAAGAGAGTATGTCCAACAGGCATGTTTCTGGTGGACTTGAAAAAAGATGAGTTGAAACTACGACCTACTACATTCACCAATGAATCTTGTTACCTCCCTCCGTTGAGACACCCAGCTGTGACCAGCTTGCCTGACAGCCCCGGAGGTGAAGTCAGTCAATATCTCATCCATGGTGGAAAGACACCAAATAATGAACTATCCCAAAAACTGTACGCCGTATCTATTGTGTCATTGGCCAACAAGAAATCAGTACTTTGCTGTTCAGAAAAAGATTTGGTTGGTGACATTCCTGAAGCAAGGTATGGTCATTCCATAAATGTCGTTCACAGCAGAGGCAAAACTGCTGTGGTACTGTTTGGTGGAAGATCTTTCATACCTTTGAATCAAAGGACTACAGAAAAATGGAACAGCGTCACTGACTGTCAGCCATTAGTTTATCTTATTGATCTTCAATTTGGCTGTTCTACCGCATACACCATCAAAGAGATACAAGATGGGTGCTCTTTTCATGTTTCAGCATCAAGAAATGATACAGTCTACATAATAGGTGGTCATACGCTTGAAAGTAATATAAGGTCTCCAGACGTCTACAAGATTAAAGTGGACCTCCCGCTCGGAAGTCCAGCTATAACGTGTACAGTTTTACAAAGTCATCTCTCTGTCTCAAGTGCTATTGTGACTCATACCTGCCCAGATGAGTTCCTGATTGTTGGTGGATATGAGTCCGACAGCCAGAAAAGAATGACCTGTAACAAAGTCTCCATAAGCAATGACTCCATCGACATCCAAGAAGTGGAGACACCTGACTGGACAGGAGATATTAAGCATAGCAAGACATGGTTTGGTGCTGATATGGGACATGGAGTTGTTCTTTTTGGAATTCCAGGAGACAATAAGAATCAGAATTCAGACAATAACTTTTTCTTTTACATGCTGAACCTTGGTAGAGAAGAAGATTTGATGCAGTCGTGCAGCCAAGGGTCTTTGGAAGAACAAGAAGACTCAATGCCTCTAGAAGACTCAGAAGAGTTCACCTTCAGTGGAGATGGAGCCTTTGATGTTGATGCCTACAATGAAGATGATGAAGAAGACGAATCAATTGCAGGTTACTGGATCACATGCTGTGATGACTGTGATCTGAGCGAAAACACTTGGGTCCCATATTATTCCACAGAACTCAACAAACCAGCCATGATCTACTGCTCCAGTGATGGAGGACATTGGGTCCATGCCCAGTGTATGGATCTCTCAGAAAGCATGCTTATCTATCTGTCTGAAAACAACATCAAGTATTTCTGCAATGACCATGCTAAATTGGAAAGAGGTCTGCAAACTCCCAAAAAGATGGTCCCTGTCTTGAAGCCTTCAATGAAGAAAGTAGGTCGAAAAGCATCTATCAACAGAATGTCAGCAGCGAAGAAGTCTTTCCTCAGACGCTTGTTTGACTAAAGTCTTAGTTTTTCTAGGTGATTAGAAAGTTTACTGAAATGTAGGAGTTGCTAGTGTTGAAAGTATACTAAAAAACAGTAAATGCTTTCATGACCATATAGGCTAGATTTGTTCTTCATTGTGAAACAATTTATTGTAGATTGTTCAGAAGGCATTGCTAGATTATATAGACAAATTATGACAATTTTGACTTTATGAGATAATAAGGTGAGCATATAGCTGATAAAGCCTTTTTAGTTAGCATGGGTTACTCCATTTCAGACTACACTATATTGCCAAAAGTATTGGTCGGCCTGCCTTTACACGCACATGAACTTTAATGGCATCTCAGTCTTAGTCCGTAGGGTTCAGTATTGAGTTGGTCCACCCTTTGCAGCTATAACCCAATGCCCACCAGTGATGCCTGTCAATGCCCATCAGTGCAGCCTATCAGTGCCCATCACTACAGCCTATCAATGCCTATCAGTGCAGCCTCATTAGCGCACATCAGTGAAGGAGAAAAATTACTTATTTACAAAATTTTAAAACAGAAACTAAGAAAAAACTATATTTTTCAATATTTGTAGTCTTTTTAGTTTTAGCAAAAAGTAAAAAAAACCCAGTGGTGATTAAATACCACCAAAAGAAAGCTACAGTATATCTGTCTCATAAAAAGATAAAAATTTTGTTTGGGTGCAGTGTTGCATGACCGTGCAAATGTCATTCAAAGTGCAACAGCACTGAAAGCTGAAAATTAGCCTGGGGAGGAAGGGGGTGAAAGTGCCCTGTAGGGAAGTGGTTAAAGATCATCTGCTGGAGAAGGTAAAAATCCTCCCTTGCAGTGGACTGTCCCTGCATTGCATTGAATTGCCCCCTCTACATGCAAAGAAGGTAGATACTTACTTTAGGTCACTTTAGGACACTTACCTACTTAGGTCTAAAGGACCAGAAACCGTAGTTTTACTTACCCGATCCAGCAGGTACTCTCCTCTACTCCCCTCTGCTCTAGCAGTGACTGTCCCTCGATGTCCATACATCTAATGCAGTGCTATGGGCTCCACATTAGACTTGATGACAGCAGAGGACCTGCAACCGCAGGAGCATCGGGGAGGCTGCGGGGGCCGGTCTTACAGCCAAGGAATTGAGGACTGGGTAAGTTAAAGCATGTACTGCCTTTCAGTGCCCATCAATGATGCCTGTCAATGTCCACCAGTGATGCCTGTCAATGCCCATCAGTGCCACCTACCAGTGCCTCCTCATCAGTGCTGCCTATCAGTACCCACTAGTGCAGCCTATCAGTGCCCATCACTGCAACCTATCAATGCCCATCACTGCAGCCTCATTAGCGCACATCAGTGAAGGAGAAAAATTACTTATTTACAAAGTTTTAAAACAGAAACTAAGAAAAAAATGTTTTTTTTTTCAAAATTTTCAGGCTTTTTTAGTTTGTTTAGCAAAAACTAAAAAAGACAGTAAATAGATAGGAAAGTATATCATATTTACTTGTTTTAAAGCATTTTTCAATTTTTTTTTTAAATTGCTTCCTAGTTTCCATGCCTAGGCAAATGATGTCATACATCCCAGGAGTGTTCTGGAGGGGAGGAGGGGTTTTCTTGCCTAAGGACATCCCTCTGCCTACGTGCCTGAGATAAAGGCAATTGAATTCCAGGAAGTAAATACTACATGAATCATCTGTCCTTTCTGAAGATGGCCACTGCCAGAAATGCCCTGGGGGTGCTTTCTCAAGAAAATAAAGCATGGAGACATGGATGGATGGGGAAGTTTCCCACATGGAAGAATAATATATTTGAAATATATTTTAAAAAATATTCTTCTCAAATATATTGACATATATTTTAAATACTACAATTTTGGCCATATTCAATATATTTCAAAATATATTTCAATAAATATATATATATTTATATAATACTGCATGTTGAAATGTGTTTTTATTATAAAATATATGGAAAATATTTTTAAAAATACATTTTCAAATATACTGTATGTCTTTAAAAATACATATCTACATTTTTGGAATGCATTTACAAATATATGTAAAAATATATGTTAAAATGACTTTTTTATATGTAAAAAAAACCCTGAAGAATATATATTTTTTAAATATTTTTCATATATTTTGTAATATATAAAAAACGCATTGCAACATGCAGTGTATGTATATATATATATATATATATATATATATATATATATATATATATATATATATATATAATATGGCCAAAGTTGTAGTATTTCAAATATATGCCAATATATTTGGGAAGAATATTTTTAAAATATATTTCAAATATATTTTTCTTCCATATGGGTTGTTTTTAATATTATAAATGAATTAAATAGCACTTTTCATTTTGTGGCATTCAGATACAGTGTAGTTAAACTTTAAAGTGCTTTTTGCTGCCTAGATCAAAAAGGGCATTTAACCCTTGCAGTGCAGGGGCAGCCCCACTGCAAGGGAGAATTTTTACTTTCCTTGGTATTCATCTTTAGGTTTAAATAGGTAATTGCACTCGATTTATACATTTTTTATTTTGCAACTAGTAACATTTTATGTGAGCCCTAGCAATAAACTCTTCTTATTTGAGTGAAAAAAAAACTGAAAAAAAGAAAAACTAATGCAGCCATCACATCTAAGTCAATTTGGAGGAGAGTCAGAGAAAACCGTGCAACAATGGAAGGTGTGCCAGGCCAAAGGATAAAAGAATCCAAATGTATTAAATAGCTTACACTAAAATTTCAATTAATTTCAGAAGTCATAAAACATTCTCCATTCATCGGGGCTTAAAATAAGAACTTGAATGGACATAATATGAACTCTTACAGTAAACAGAATATTGTGACATTTCTTTTTTACTTATTTTTTGTAGGATTCTGCAGATAGCAAAAGTTGACCTCAGATCCCGACAAGATCTTCTGTGTTCTGATTGGATCGAAATGTTGGCAAAGCCTACTAGTCTCGGGGGATCTTGGATTTAAAGGAGAACTCAATAAAAAACAATTAAAAATACTATGTGTGTCGGGTTCTTTGAGAGTTAACTTTGTTAAACTATTTTTTAGTCTTTTGAATTGCAGCGCTGGAGTACATTTTCTAATATTCCCTGCCTGTGTTAACAGACCTGTGCACCCAAAAGTCCCTTGAAAGACCAATATCTGTCTACAACTGATTGATAGTTCTTCAATGGTCAACACGTTAGCTACTTTTTTCCATTAATTGGGGTGCTTTTATTTTTTTTAGGTTAGGTTCTAACCAGGGGCAGACTGACAACTCATGGGGCCCCCAGGCAATAGGGGATCATGGGGCCCCTGTGTCCTTGCCCAAACTCAAAAAAGCCTATGAAAAAGGTACCAGGGGCATCTCATGGGGCCCCCTACTGACCCCGGGCCCTCGGGCAGTGCCCAAGTTTCCAAATGGTCAGTCCGCCCCTGGTTCTAACCTTTAGCTGATTAGAAGGCATCAGGTACTTGCTGTTGAAAAACCATTATAGAGATACCTTTTTTCCCACTGCAACTCATGGAACCTTTTTTTAAAAAAGTATAAAAGCCCAGTGTACCCAAAACAATGCACACCGTTAATCCAGGTGCACCACATTAGCCTGCTTTATCTCCATTGTAAAACGAGCTGCTTTTGGGATGTCTTGATTCTAATAAAGGATGACTAGATCTTAAAATAGTGCATAATAAAGAGTATAGCGGGGTGGGGCGTGTGATATAATCAGTGTGGACCTTCAGGGTATTATCCTATATATATGACCATTCTAGAGAAATCGAACGAACGGGACTTTAAATATACCACTGATATCCAGCAAAAAAAAAACTAAAAGAGAAGTTATGCCCCCCCCAAAAAAAAAAATAATTAAAAGTCAGCAGCTACAAATAATGTAGCTGCTGACTTTTATTATTAAGGCGTTTACCTGTCCAGGCATCCAGTGGTGTCCTCACCCCGAGCCGATTCTTCAACCGGCTATCAGGTACTGGCATCGCCATCTTGACTAAGAGAAACTGGCAGTAAAATGTTGCTGCTTTACTGCTGGTTTTCTGCTGTGAAGTGCGTTGTGCTTTGTGAATGGGCATCAGTCTTCTGGGACTTGTGAAGTGTCCCACAAGGCAGCGGGAGACGGAGGGGGGCCGAACTTCCAGGTCAGTTTGCCATTGCAAACTAAGCCGGAAGTGGGAGCGAGTAGCCGTCAAAACCAGGTATCCGCTCGCCCCCAAAAGGTGCCAAATGTGGCAGCGGAGGGGGAGAGGCAAATAAATGGAGCTTTCCCTTTTGGGCTGAACTCCACTTTAATATATACTGTATATAAAAATATATTTTTTATTCACTATTGAGTTAAAAGACAAGTATGTATAAAGAAAAATAAAACCAATATTACAGTTGAATAATCATATTGAATATTAGTTTGTGTCCTTGAAATAGGTTTACGCGTTTCGTGGATCCTTCCACTTCTTCAGAACCAATATGAATTGTTTATGGAACGTAGAATTGTACAAAGTAGATAAAATGAAATTCTACAAAAGGAAAATCGTGTATCTATTAAGCAAATATATACATTATCATATTTGGCTTTTTCAAGACTACCCAAGACTCATCCCCAAAGCCTCTCAATCCTGAGAGCGACACAAAAAATGTCACTTGCCCCGGTTAGACTTGGGCACTCTTCTCACCCGCTGCTCTATGAGCAAGCAGTTCCCTCATTCTTTGACTGCTTTTCCCCCAGGAAACGTATCTATCTACTCCACAGTTGAAAACTCCCCCTAGCAGGGTTGAGACCCCATTCATAACTTTAGAACTGTCTGTGCACCCTAATACAGTTTTAATTCCTGAAGCTACCAAGATCTTTATATCCTAATTCGACGTGGTCATGTATGACATACAGTCATGCCGAAATTCATCAAGATCTTTATATTCCCCTTTGTTGTATGGGACAAAACAAAAAAAGGGAGGAAAGAAAGCAAATTTCGACTTTTGGTCATGTATGACTGTAAACTCACACCTG